GCCTGCCTTCCCTGACCCCTTCCCAGGCCAAGACAGGCCTGGCTTCTGGCAGTACCTGCTGCAGCTGCTCCAGACCCACAACCCACTTCTCTTCCTGCAGGCTAGCCCATTTCCACTGTTGCAGCCAGGCCTGGACTCAGGGGGCTTGGAGCTCCTGGCTGACTGGGATCCAGAGTTGATGGGAAGACAACCCCCTTCTTCAAGCCCCCTGAGCCACATAACACAGAGGGGCAGGCAGGGATGAGTCTGACCTGGGCTAGGAGGTGGTTGCCATGGTGGTGAAGCATGGTGAGCAGGGTTGCAAGCAGGAGCTCAGGGAACAGGTCGTTGCTCTCAGGGCCTGAGAGTGGAGCAGCAGGCCCTGGCAACAGTTGCAGAGGGCTGTGCCAGCACACTGCAGGCTGCTCCAGGCCGGAAATGCAGGTGGCTAGGGAGCATACCACAGGGCTTTTAGAGAGGGCTCCTGACCACAGGCAGCTGTGACAGGAGCTTCCCGCTCCCCCTGGCTGCTGAAGGAGGAGGCAGGATAGTGCTATGAGGAACAAATCTGCTCCCAAATGGCTGCATGTGTAAAAGCTTACCCAGGGTGGCTTTACTGTGCAGTAAATTACTGTGCAGTAAACCTATATAGCACTAATTGCACATGTGGATGCAGCCAGGATCCGTATAATATTAAATGAGGAAAAATGTTGTTTAAGAGTGAAAAGCTTTCGGGGTGTATATCAGCAGCAAGAAAAATGTACATTAGCATTCAGCTCAAATGGCTTAAAATGCTCCAATGATTACATATCAATAGAGTATACAATCTTAGCTGAATAAAAAAGAAAATGAGCAACATAATGCCATCACATACTGTTCACTGTTTTTATAAATAGCAGTGAAAAGAGCTAATGCATCAGGTCTGCATGGTGGAACATTTGTGGTTGCTGTAAAAAAAGTTTAGGATTACTTGTTTCACAACAGCAAGAGAAATGCGAAGTTCTAGTGCAAAGCCTGCTTCACAGAAAGAGCAGTATGTGCTTGTTTACAGTGGGTCATGTCAAAAGTTCCTTGAAAGAGTGGCACAGAAGAAGCTATTTGCAGGAACACAATAGACAAATGTTAAAATTCTCTGACAGTAAAAATTAAAAACAAATATTTGGGTACAATTGAAATGTTTTATTTTGATGACAATGCGTCATTTAAGCACTGCCTCTGAGTATGTGTTATGTAATCCAAACTTCTATAAAGCAAAAACCCTGAAGTAATTTCAATGAAAAATTCATATTTTCCTGTCCAAAAAAGTCCAAATAGCACATTTCAACACTGTCAGACCTTTTTCTTTGTGTTTACTTCTGAAACAAAGTCACAGAAAAATCAGTGCAGTTTTGTAAAGATTTTAAAGTCTGGAACCTTGTAATTCAGGGGTGGGCAAAATATGGCCCGTGGGCTGGATCTGGCTCGCAGAGAAGCTTTCTCCAGCTTGCAGTGGGTCCCTTGGTTACACCTGGCTCAGGTGTCATCAGCCCTTGGCTTGTCCTGGCTCCCGCTGGGCACGCAGTGGGCCTGGGGTGACTCCGCAGCTGGATTGCCTTTCTAGGCAGCCCAGGCAGTGGCAGCTCCTTCCAGCTGCCACTGTCACTGGCCCCATCCCCCACTGCCACTGGCCACACAGCCCCAAACCCCAGCCCTCCCCGCGCCCACTCCAGAGTTGGCCCAGCAAAGAGGACCAGCTCCTGACCAGCTAGAACCCATGCACAGTCCCGACCCTGGCCCACCCCACGCCTGCGCCAGACTTACTTACCCATGCTACGGCAGCAGCAGCCAGACAGAAGCTGCTGCTCAGTGCAGGGGAAAAGCACCCCTCCCCTTCATTGCTGCCAGCCCTCGTTGCAGCTGCTCAGAGCCAATGCCCAGGCTGCCTTGTGACCCCTCTGGACTGCCACCACTGTCCTGCTGGGCAGCCCGGAGGCAGTGGTGACAGCAGCAAAGTGCAGCCCTGACGCGGGCTCTGGGTGGCTGCAGCAAGAAGGACACAGCAGTGGTGAGGGGGAGGAGCTGCTTTTCCCTCATGCCAAACAGCCTTTGTGGCCCACAGACCTAAATAATTGTCCACTTCTGCTGTAGTCTGATGTACTATAGTCCCATCAAAGTTTCTTTGGTCCACACTGTTTATTCTGGAGCAGCTGATGGCACCTTATCTATTAAATAGTTGCATTTAAACTAGCATTGATATCTTAATGTACATTTAACATGTATATTCTAACATTTGTCTCACTTATATGGCAGTCCACCTCACTCACCAGCTTTTGGACCGTAAAGTGATAGGATATCTTTCCACTGTGTCCAAAGAATTGTGGTTGGGAGGTCACAGCTGTAAGATGTTGGACAATCACCAAGTGAACAATGTCAAACACTGAGTTTCTGGATGATTTCCATCAAAATAACATTTCATTTGGAGTCAGCAGTCTTTACAGAGTTTTGGAACGGAATTCAAAATTGTTACTGAAACCTTTATATATGATATCAAAACTGGGCTAGAAGCACAGTCACCCCGAGACACAACTTCTGCTTTGTTTGAGAGCTGGGCATACATTCCCTAGACCACAGCTGCTGTGGTCCCTAGACCACAGACCCTATCACTGTGCAAATTTGCAGAAGAACTGCCATTCAGAGAGCAACCATGCGGCTAACAGGGTTGTAGCATTTATGGGGGCTTGAGGCTTTTATACTTTTGGTTTGTTTGTTTGTTCATTTTGGTCTGGCTATCAAAAATCACTGGAGTAATTTTGGAGTGTAAACAGCAGTTCAAGTGTCTAAAGTTGTAGAAGAAAGACCTGCAGAGCATTTCTGGGAGACAAGCTAGGAAAATACATAGCACATAGAGGTTGCAACATATCTCTTTCTTACTCTTAGTCTTTGCCTTTCCCCAACATACAAGTTACCTTTCCTGCTCTTCTCTGTCTTCCTCTCCCTTATTCTGACAGCCCTGGTGTTGCTCCCTCTGACTAAAGCCATACCCCTCCATCTTCATATCCTGAACTGGATTTCAGCCTGTTCACAGAGGCAAGGGACAGAGTTCCTCCTTTGCATTGCCTTCTCCATCTGAAACACACCAGCAAAACCATCACCTAATAATCAGGTTTAGTCATCTGTGTGTTTTCTAGGAAAAACCCAGAGTATTTCTGACCATAGGCATTTGTGATACCTGACCTGGAATATTTTCACTTTAAGGTGCAATAGTTATTTTAGACATGCAATGTTTCGTTGATATCATAAAGCAGAATTTTGCCTACGTGCCTCATGAGAGCTCTCATAAAGAAAAAAGCCCCTGGCTTATGAAGGAAATCTCAAGAAGAGCCTCTGTACTGTACTGCTGTAGCCTCGGTCACACTGTGCTTTGAGGGGTTAAGTGGGACTTCTGTATACAAAGGTGAATTTCATTCATAGGTCATAGTACACAGAACAATCTTCTCATGTAAAATGTCTATACTGCATCAACAGATGGTTTTGGGAAGCACAGGGCTGAACCTGCCCTGCCTCCCCACATCTTCTGATTCACTCCAGAGCTGCAAGTTCATGAGTGATGTTACTCTAGGTTTGTCGATCAGCTCTGAGAGCAGGTGCCGTAGACAAGGCCGAACTTCTGAATCTGGAGCACATTAGTGAATGGGAGGGGTGGGATCTGCTCAGCCATACACTCCCCAAGACTGCTCAGACAGACAGGCTCAGACAGACAGGCTCAGAAAGTTCATTCAGCTTGAGGCTTGTCTGTGAAGCCAAGTTTAGACTGATATTTCATATACGCATCTATTTATAATGTAGATATAAGAACCAGAAGAATAAATACATTACCAATGTAATCCACAGCCAGTATGCAACATTTCACTGTTCTTTAAGGGACTGAAAACTTTGCTCAAGAGATCCTCAATTGTAACAAAATCCTCAAAAAGATTTACAGCGGTAAAGCAAAGTTACTGAATGCAGAAGGTTTGCATCAACGAGTAAAAGGCTCAACACCTGGGGCTTTCAGTTTTTGTTTAACTAGGTTTTCCTACCAGTGCTGGAATTGATATTATTCTAAGCAGTTTGCCCTGCAAAGCAGGAAATCCCCTGCAGTAGGGGGTGAATTTTAAAGCATTAGGTCTCAGAGCTTATCCTAGGCCAAGCAGAGCTCTAGAGCAGATGTGGGGAATAAGCAGGGCACTGATTACAGTTCTCTCACTCAAATGCCATATTTGCTCTGGCTCCTGGCTCTGATCTAAGATAGTAGCTTAGGGGGAACTCTAACTTCCACCAGTTGGTTTAGTTGTCAGGGGTGTTTGTACACATGCTTTTGCCATAGCACTGGGCACTTTTAAAAGCACTCGGTGCTGCATCATGTGCAGTTGTATAAGCAACAAAATGCACGTCAACACTGAGAAAATGGCAGCAGCGCGCTTTTGAACTAAAGCACCTCAAAGGTGTTTTAGTTCAAAAGTGCACTGCTGCCATTTTCTGTGTGGTGACATGCATTTCGCCACTTATACAACTGCACGGGATGCAGCGCAGTGCACATCAGTTCACACAACCTGCCAGATCTCTGGCACATCCCGAGATGAAAAGGTATGTGTATAAATGACCCAGGAGTCCAGACACCAGTTAACAATCAGTGGAACACAGATGTACCACTCTGTGCCAATGTGGTGCAGGAGTAGGAGGGTGGAAAAGTTAGTATAGCTTCCAACTATCATAACCCTATGCTAGATAAAAAATCCTCCATTCCAGGGAGTGCTCAGCTATTTGTGGAGGGTCAGACTCAAGCCACTTTCCACAGCACAGAAGTAAAGAATCTGGCCTCAGAATTTGATTTACTATAGTCGGGGATCCATTGCTGCTCACCAAACAATGATATTACTGTTCTGTTTTAACCATCAGCATTGTGAACTAGTAACCAGGTACAATTTTACAAGCTGTTCGCAAAATGAGGGGAATTAAAGGTTATGAAAATGCTTCATAATGTGCCATGTGTCTCGTTCCAGGGGAAAAAAATAGAGAGGAGAATAGGAGAAAGCCTAATGAAGAAAGCAAGGAAACAAGGCAAGAAAACAAAGGTCGCACATCCCGAAGACAAAACCGAGAACAGCGGGAAAACAAAAACAAAATGCAGCCGAAGAAAAGAAAAGGCCAGAATAAAGAACAGAAACCAGAACCTATTGGCACTGCACACTAACAGCCTTACAAGATTGTTTTAGACTTATGATGCTGCTATCTCAACCAGATCCCCGTGACAGGTGCTTGACCCATCAAAACTCTACATGGACAATGCCATCTGTTATTAAAACTTAAGCAACATTCCAGATAATTCCTATATTCTCCGTGCAACTATAGTTTATTAAAGAGAACTGTCATGAGCCAAGAATTGTTAAAAGAAATCTAAAAATGGGATACTTTAAAACCATTATATTATATGCTTCCATGCATCTGTAAAGGCAACTAAGAAATTTTGTATATATTATTAATAGGGTATAAAATATAGCAATATAATAATGAATGACATCCAGATGAACAATCTTTTTTTCCTTTGTAAAATATTGTTCAAGCTATTGTTAAAGTACGAGGCAAGAGATATGTCTAGGTCAAAGACACGATATCCCTTCATATATTGTATATAAATATTAAGAGAGGGAGGACAACATTTCTCAAGAGCCAGTAGGAAATTAAGGTTTTATACCCTGTGTTGGAACAGGATTGAATTACTCTGTGGTTCCAGTCTCATGTGGGAAGCATCGGAGTGAATAGCGGCCAAACTCTGAAAGTTAATGAGGAAAAAGAAGTGGAAGGAATTGAAACGTTGGAGACTGAATCCCTAAAGGAGAATTGATGGCGCTTTGCTTGTATAGCGCTCTTATCTATGGAACAACCCGACATTTTCTGGTCTAAACAGTGGTACAGTGTGTGCTGTTCTATGCTTTTTATAACTATGTGTAACTTAAATCTACATTTCAAATCTGGTGAATGACAAATCATAATTGTAGGAAACAATGCTGAGTTAATAAAAAAGACAACATAGACCATGGAAGGATGTGTTTTTCATGCTCAAGGGTGATTTTTTAAGTGGGAAAAAAATTACTGCTTTGTGATTGGCATTACATCATAGAAAAGGATACTACTTTAACAGTCTGTATCTAGTGAAAGACAAGCTAGTACAATAAATATATTTGTGGATAGTTTACAAAGTTTTGTCCATTTTTGTTGACAGAAATATATGATATAGATGCACTGATTTGGTCACTTGACCAGTCTGATGTTGTCAAATATTGTCAAATAATAATCAAATATTTTAAACATTAGTTTATTACAACAGTAAAACTAGAGATTCAGACTTCAACCAGTTTGATATTTATGTTAAGAACAAAAAAAATAGCTAAGTGTTATTGTGAAACAATGAAATATAATTTTTAAAAATGTAATAAATTAGTGTAATCAACTCTGTGAGGTAAGTATAAATGTGAACAATGTTCAAGACTGAACAGTTCTTCTTTTCCTAGTCTTTTATTCCAGAAACCCAGGGTCAGTCTAAATAATTACAAAATTTAAAATAATAAAAAGAATCAAACAAAAATAAAACATACATGGCAACTGTACAAGACAAAAGTCAGACCTAAATGCAGTTATGCTAAGAAGGCAGAAGGCCAACTAGTCACTTACTTTGCATAATCTTCATCAACTTCAACTGCTTTATCTACATCATCATGATCAGTAGTTCTTTCCTCTCTGAATATCAAGTCAACTCTACATCTTTCATCTTCTTTTCTAATCTTAAATTGTGATATACAGTCACCACTTTTCTGACAGTGGAAGGTTTCAGTTTATTCCTAGTTTTTGAATGGATGATGTCTGTAAGTGACCATTTTTTCCCCTAGTGCGAGCAAGTGTTAAAAGTATTTCTGTCATCATTATAATTCAGCTGCAAGGAGGACACAACACTCTTCACCATGGTGAGTAAATTGTTTGTTTTTATACCCTTTAAAATTTGCAATAACCAATATGAGGCTGCAAGTTGCTTCAGACTAATCATTAGAAAGGTCAAAGCCAGGAAATGTAGAACAAGAAAGTAGGCAGAATTATGTGCTGGAGGGATCACTTGATATTAGTTTGTCTATTTTTTTTTCCTCTTCAAGCTTTCATAACTGGATTTTGTTCAGTATTCTTGCAAATATGTTTCTTAGTCTCAGGCAATGCAGAATTATCACTTTCCATATTCTGAATGACCCGAGTGACAGGCTCAAGCAGTGAAACTTTTGAGTTTCTCAGCCAAAAGATGCTATCATCAAGAATGTCAGTGTGGATTATTTGGGGGTGACATCTGGCCCCTCCTTCAACAGCAGCTGAATGAAGTACTTTTTTGCATGCTTGAAGATCTTTGAGAGATTTAATAAAGGATGCCCACTGAATACAATTAGGCTTACTCAGTGTGGATGCAACTCAGCGCAACACTAAGTGATGTTGAAATATAGCTGCTGGTAGTTTTCTAAAAACTTGACAATGCTTTTCAGTTTTGATACATCTGATGAGAAAGTTGCAAGATCTTTGGCATTCTAATATAATAAAAGCTGTAGCACTTCCAGCTGTGTGTCTGTCTGCCTATAACACTGCAGGCCATCTGTGCAGGCACCGCCCAGAGCCTTATTGACAGGCACACAGGTGAGGCGAGGCGAGCCAGAGGCGGAGGCAGAGGCAGTGGGGACCAAGGTGTGCTCCTTTGCACGAGGGGGAGGGGAGGTGAGGGGGATAGCTTGCAGCCCTGTGGGGGTGTGGCGCATGGCCACAGCATGTGGCTATGGGGCAGGGCGCAATGCACCCCCCACCCCGCACCTGCTTCCCCCATGGCACCCTGTGGCCATGCACCAGGTCCCCCCATGCAGGGATCACCCACTGGCTGCAGCTGTGGGGCGCAGGGTGTGTGGGAGCCAGCGCAGGGGGTGCACAGATGGCATCCACCAGCTGCAGCACATGGCTGTGGGGTGGGATGCACCCCCGACGCCCGCTCCCTGCATGGCACCCTGTGGCCACACCCCTCCCCATGGGGAGTGACTGCCAGCTGTGACCATGGGGCACACAGGGCGGGGGAGGGGGCAGGGTACGTAGCCACAAGGTGCCACGCTTGGAGTCTGGTGTGGAGGGTGGAAAGGGGACGGAGGGTGTGGTGCCCACTACCACCACCAGAAGGGCCGGGGGAGACTGGGGCTGAGCCCGGCCAAGTGGCCATGGGATCCCAGTGGCTCCTACAGACCCATGGGTGGGTGGCTCTGGGCACTGTGGGCACTGCGGGGGAGCAGGGCCTGCACCAGCCCCCTGGGCTCCCTGGCACTGCACCCCTGATGTGCTGCCAGGCTCTGATGGCCCCATGACCCAACCCAGCTGAGGCCCCAGTCACAGTGAATGTGGCCCTGGCCGGGCTGGGCCATGGGACACTCAGAGCCTGGTGGTTCCTCCAGAGGTGGCGCTGGGGAGCCCAGGGGCGCACGAGGCCCCTGGTTTGTGCACAGGGCAGGGGCAGCTGAAGCTGTATTCTCCACTCCACCTTTGCTCCCTCCCTCGCTGCTCCTGCTCTGGCAGCAGCACCATGTGAGTCCCACCATGGGGCAGGCTGGGCCAGACAATGAGTCACATGTGTGTGGCATGAGGCTGGGGGTGGGGTTGCATGTGGCTGTGGCTGTGTGTGTAGCTGGGTGTGTGTGGCTGCAGTGTGTGGCTGGGTGTGTGTGTTGTGTGGCTGGGTGGGTGTGTGGCTGGGTGTGTGTTTGTGGCTGGGTGGGTGGGTGTATGTGTGGCATGTGTTTGGGTGGGTGTCTGGGTGGGTGTGGCACACAGCTGGGTGTGTGTGTGGTGTGTGGCTGGGGCATGAGGGCACTTCAGTGTGGGGGCTGCCTGATGGCTAGTAGGCCTATGCAAATAGGGAAGTATTGGATTCGGATTCAGATTCAGCCAATTCAGAGGACAGTGATTCGATTTGGTGATTCGAATCACTGTCCCCATTTGATT